GCAAGGGCTCTAAATGGACGACAGCTCTATAGAGTAAATCGATAAGCACAAAAAAATACATTCACCATCAGTCAGACATGGTGAACAGGAGGTCTCGTACAGTGCTGGCGAGAATGTAAAGCGGCCCAGGCACACTGGAAAACAACCTGGCAGGCCCTTAAATGGCTGGAGACAGAACTGCCAAATGTCCAGCAATCCCACTACCAGATACATACCCAAGAGAAATGAACTCACATGCCCACACAACAACACCTCTGTTTAGAGCAGTAGCATTGTTAACAACCTAAAACGGAAAAAAAATGGGCTTTTTCCCAAAAATGAGCTGTTTCCTCAGATGAAAAGTAGATAAACCTCTACAGTGGTGGATCAAAAGAAAAGTACACAAAACTAAGACTGAGAAATGAAAATTGCCACAAAAAATAAAAAAAAAAAAACTACAGCACTCTATTCTAATGAACTATAGCCATTGCTGAAATGAAGGACTTTCTAGGAAAATCATAAATTATCAAAACTAACCCAAGAAACATGAGTATGTATATAGACCACACCTGAGAGGAACCTGGAAACACCATAATTTTGCTTCTGGTATGGCTCAAACATTAGAGAAACATTTCTACACAACTCATCTGTTCCAGGGCATAGAAAATATTCAATCCAGCACCTTTCATACAAATGGAATGGAATACCACAGACCAGGCAAAAGGCTCTGACCATGTGTTCTTTCTTCTGAAAACACGGCCACCTGCTATCAGAAGAGATGCTGCGCACTAGATGGAAGTTGGAGGGTAAGAGCAGAGGGAGGAGGGGCTGACAGGAAACTTAGAAAAATTTGCAAGCTGGGTTCATGACTCCGTTAAAAGTCAAAAACCAAGAATCTCTAGTGCAACAACCCATGAACATTACAGTCTCCCAAAAATAAATATTTTCCTTCCAAATGCAAGCTTCCAGGACAGGTGTTTGAATTCTTGTACGCTGAAAGATGCGCAGGTCCAGCAGGAAAACAAAGGAGCAGAGGCTCTGAATCCCTCACTCCTCAACCAAGTCCTTAGAGAGCAGTGGGGGGGGGGGGGACAGAGCTGGCTCCACCTGTAAAGCCTGGTGACCTGAGTTCAATCCCAACATAAAGGGGGAAAACCGAGTCCATCTGCATTCAATCCTCAGCCCCTGCTCTGTTGGAGGAAGACAAGAAGATCCCTGGAACATGCTGGTGGGACAGCCTGACCTAGTCCAGTGAGCTACAAGTTCAGTGGCAGATCCTATCTCAAAAGTTAAGATGGAAGGTGTGGTGGTACACACCTTTAATCCCAACACTCTGGAGGCAGAGGTAGGTGGGTCTCTATAAAGATCACTATGTAGATCAGGCTGGTCAAATTAAATAAATAAGGTGGGAAGCAATCCATATGTACCCATACACACATGCATATGTGCACACAAACACTACACCACATACATATACACACACATAAAACAAACTTATTATAAAAATCTTACTACTTAGCAAGAGATAGATGACAGAGGAATTGAGTACTACACAATGAACACATCTTAAAAAACCTGGAGGAGTGGGGCAGAGTGGCACACACCTTTAATCTCAGCACTTGGGAGGCGGAAGCAGATGAATCTCTGAGTTCAAGGCTAGCCCAGTCTACTACATAGGGAGTTTCAGAACAACCAGGGCTACATAGTCAAAGCCTGTGTGTGTGTGTGTGTGTGTGTGTGTGTGTGTGTGTGTGTAGGGGTGGACCTGGGGGAGGAGGGCTATAGCTCAGAGGCAGAGTTTGCCTAACATGCATCAAGGTCAGGATTCACAATTCCCAACTTCATAAAACAAACTAAAAGTGAGCCGTCTACACCTTCCCATATTCTCTAATGTAAGTAACTGATACAAGAAAAGAAAAAGCAGGACTGGATGTGACGACTACACCTTTCTTCCCAACACTTGGGAAGCAGAGGCAGTCACAGTTCAAAGTCATCTTGATCAACGTAGCAAGTTCCAGGCCAGCCAGGGCTACATAGTGAGACCCTGTCTCAAAAACAAAACAAAACTTCCAGGGAAGGAGAAAGACAACCCAAGCTCTAAGAAGCACTGAAACTAGAATTATATAGGTCACTGTAAACCAGGAAAACAATTTTCTCATATTAGGTATGGTAAGAGTTATAAAGTGAGCTAATTTAAAAATTCCTCCATTAGGCCTAAAGAAATAAATTTAAATATTCATAGTTATTCAAATAAGAAGTCAGAACAAAGTAAGTTAGAAGACCTAATTCAAAAGTATAGCTTCATTATGGTCTAGATGTAGCTAATGTAGTACCTAAAATTTCTGGCCCAGACGACTTCTGTAATCTTTCTTAGTACCCATCCAGCCAGTTCATCATCACCAGCTCAAAGCTGACCTGGCCACATCTCAAGACGAGCACAAGCGTTTACTCACTAAGCTAACACCAGGACACTACCCTTCACAAACAATCCATTACTAAGAGTGATGACTTTGCTTTCTAAGTGTCAATGCTGTTCTGGGATGGGTGGTTGTGCCAAGCCATTCTAATCTCAGAGCAAGGCTGTTTGGGCCTCAAAGCAAAGGCCCTGCTGCCTTCAGAAAGAGCTAGTTTAACAAGCCCTGCTGCAATCTGTCTCGGGGCATTGCTAACACCACTGTCTCCACTCTTTGATGAGCACACCAGACCATCAGAAAGTTGACCCTGCAGAGATAACCAGTCACAAAAAAAGAAACACCCAAGGACCCCACCAGAGAAGACTCCATGACACTGAGACAATGCCAAAAGAGCCTCCCATTCAAGAGCCTAAACTTTCTACTTCTGCCTTTTTGTCTGGGTGAATTCACTCACAGCACCAGGTCACCAGTCTGTCAACACTGTCCCTGGCATGACAAACATCACTTGAAACAGCCTACTTCTCCCTAGTCCCATCAACACTTCCATGTTCTACGTAGACTAGGCCAGCCTGGAATTCAAGAGACCCACTTGCCCTTGCCTCTAAATCAGTGATTCTCAACCTGTGGGTCTTGACCCCTTTGGGGGGTTGAATATCAGATATCTTGCATTTACATTACAATTCATAACAGTAGAAAAATTAGTTATGAAGTTGCAATGAAATAACTTTCTGGTTGGGGGCCACAGCATTAGGAAGGTTGAGAACCACTGCTCTAAATGCTGGAATTAAAAAGCATATATCATCGCACCCTGCTCATTTCCTTATTCTAGAAACTTTTTGCCTGACAGTATTGCAACGACCCTCTAACTAGTGTCCCTCATTTATTCAGAATGCTCTAATCTTCCCCTACTAGCACAGTTATCTACACAACTTGTTATCTTGCTGAAATACAAATCTAATCATAAACATCTCCTTTAAAACATTTTATGGACTCCCCAAAACTCCAGGGACAAATCCTTGAAATCCCTGGCATAACACATAAAGCCTTGTAGTCCAGACTCAACCTGCTGGCCTTCAATTCCTTGAAATGTCATGCTTTAAATGATGCGGCCTAGTGGTAGGGAGAATGTTTGCCTAGAATGCCCAAAGGCTGGGGTTCAACCCTAGTCCTACAAAAAAATCAAAACATGTAAGATGTGAAAGTGTCACACTCTTGCTAACAGTGCTTTTCCTCATCTAGGCTTTTTTTTTTTTTTTTTTTTTGAAACCCTTGCTTAATTAGCCTTACAGTCTTCAAGGCAACTCGCCAACCTTCACGGACAAGTCCAGGTTACCTATTTTTCTGCATTCATAGCACTTTAGCATACACCATTATTCCTTATGAGACCATGTGAATTTTATCTGCCTCCCTCTTTAAAGTGGGAACATCAGGAAGGCAGGGGTTTGGGTCATCAAAATTTCCTTAGCATCAAGTACAATGTGTGGCACAAGGTGAATGCTTAAAGTCTAAGCTGAATGAATTAAACGCTCCCTAAAATATCCAGCAGGCTCTTTACCAATCACAGTCTGTAGTATCACTGTGATGATGGAATTGTTCTGTAACTTCTATGTCCAAAGTAACAGCCACTGACTAAGCATGGCTATCAAGCACTTGTAAAATGATTAAACAGGGCCACTGAATTCCTAATTTTAGTAATTCTTTCCCCCCAAGTATTAGGGCTTGAACTCAGGGCCTTGCACACACTAGGCAAGACCTCTAACACCTAAATGCCTCCCCAGCCCTTCTAATTCCATATATTACTAACTAGTTAACATGTCAAGAACTACACGTGGCCGTATTGAACAACAACAGCGCAGTTCCTGACAGCTAAAAAGCATTAAATTAAGAACATGGTTAAGTTTTAAAAATCTTGGCAGGACCTCTGTAAACTCGGTCTTTCTCCATTTAGTCTTGACTAGGTGCTTTCTAATATTCCAAACTAGAGCTGAATCACTTCCCTTCCAAGTTCCTGCCACTGGTTGGGGACCCATTAATTGCTACAAATGCAGGAAATTGCTATAAACAGGCGGGGAGCTTATCAAGGCAGCCCATGCAGAGTCCATAGCCTACACTAATTCTTCGGGGGCGGGGGTTCTTGCACTTCAATAAAACTAAGGTGCCAAATGTCTCTCCACTTGCTAGCTATTCCCCAAGCTCCCTCGCCAGCTCCCACCTTCTGCCCAAAAGGCCTTTCTAATTGAACGCTCTGGGAGTACCAGCTCCCTGCGCATCTGTCGTATCTGTCCTAGTTCAGAAAAACCAGGACTCACTAAGAGGCGGGAAAGACACCAGAGATGTCATTGCCAGGAAGAACCCGAGACTGCGAAGAGTTTGCCAGCCCTACAAGCAGGGGTCTCCGTAGGCATGGCGACCCGCAGCGAGCAGGCCCCGAGATCCTGGAGCAATTTCAGGAGTTCAAACACCTCGACTGGCGCTTGGGCCTCAGCCCCGCTCCTCCCCACAGCTCCGCTCCTCCCCGCAGCCCCGCTCCTCCCCACAGCCCCGCTCCTCCCCGCAGCCCCGCTCCTCCCCACAGCCCCGCTCCTTGCTACAAGTGCCGCTACCCACCTCAGCGTCGCTCACTTGCTTCACAGGCGCGTACAGGTACCGCGGGGGCGGGGGCAGAGGGAAAGCCCTGCCAGCGTGGACAGGGTGAGCCTGCAGCCAGGCCTTAGCCATCTCGTCCTCCTCTTCATCCGTGCTCTCTCGCGGCTGAAACTCGCTGTTAAAATCCAAATCATCCAAATCCACCTCGGGCCCCGCCTCTTCTAATTCTTCCTCTTCCAACCTCACAGTCTCCTCAGAGGAATGGACCTCCTCGGTTTCCTCGGTCGCCGCCACCGACGCGTTCTCCACCTCCTCCACCTCCTCCTCCTCCAGCTCGCCCGGCCACGGCAGGTCCTCCGGCTCCATGTTGGCTTCGCGCTCCGGGCGGCTGTGGGAGGAGGAGGAGAGAGGAGGGGGCGGGGCGTGGAGGAGAAGCGAATTGACTGGCGGTTGCGGACGTGCGCAGGCGCACTTGTCGCCACCGCCACAGGCTGGGCGGGGCTGCGAGTGAGCGCGCGCGTTGCTAGGGACGCCCCGCGGGGCGCGCAAGAAAGCCGCGGCAGAGGAGGACCGCGACTTGCTACGTCCTTTTTCGTCACCAGACCTTGCTTATTGTACTGTATGCTCACAATAAACCTAGACCGGGCTCTTCTGGGGGCGCTAGGGCACTTCCTGCTCAATTCACCCCTGATTTTTTTGTTTTTCGCCCTCAAATCCTAGGATAAGTCCATAATAATCACATTTGCAAATTACAGATTTTTAAAGGGTTAGCGCCTTAAGTGACAGTCCACAGCTGGCACCTGAACCCAGCAGTTGTGAAGTGTAAGGAAATAAGTGAATTTTTTTTAATGGACGCTGGCGTCCAAAACAGGAACTGGGATCTGACTTTACCACATGCAGTGGTGTGAGAAGGAGTGCCTATAAAAAGAGGTTAAGAGGCCCCTGCAGGGCTGGCAAGATGGTTCTACGGATAAGGCATCTACAGCGTCTGAGTTCGATCCTAAGAACCCATATAAAGGTGGAAGGAGAGAACCAATTCTCCTAAATTGTCCTTATTGAGGGAGGAGGAGGCGGAGAAGAATGGGAGGTAGCCCGGTAGTATGGCACATGCCTTTAATCCCAGCAATTGGGAGGTAGAGGCAATTGGATCTCTGTGAGTTCAAGGCCAGCCTAGTCTACATAGGGAGTTTCAAGACAGCCAGGGTGACATAGAGAGGCCCTGTCAAAAAAAAATTTAAAAAGAGGGTCAGCAAAATGGCTTAGCAGGTAAAGGCACATGCCCACTCCACTCCCACCATTCATGACAGGCTTCTAAGCATCAAGGCTGCACCTCCAAAACCTAAAGGCATAACCAATTGGGAACCAAGTATTCAACTGACTGAAACATTGAATGAGACATTTCTAGTTTAAACCGTCACAGATAGACATGTGTTCCTGTCTCCCCGAGAAAAAGCCACAAGTATGCCTAGTATCTGGAACAGCCTCTGGCGTTTAAGGAGATGCTCAGTAAACATTGTCAAATTAAATGAACAAAGTCCATATTGAATTGACTGGTCAGAAGATGATAAATAGAATGCTGGAATAAATTTGGCTTCCCTTGGAGTTCCTATAGCTGTCTACCTACTGGAGAACTTTTGACTTCCTCTCCCTACCTGGAGGCATCAGATAGGCAGAAAGTGAAATGCACCTCCTGGTGTTTGTGTGGGTAGAGGGAAACCGATTATAACTTGCAGTTGACTCCAGGTGCCAGACCCTCACAGGATGAATCATTGCCACCAATGGCTAAAGAAATAACTCCAAAAAAATGATAATTATATATGGCATATATAGAAAATTTTGCTATATATGTGTGCATACCTATGTGTTTGGAAAAATAGATGAGCAGATAAATACACAGAAAAATATGGTAAAGGGCCAGAAAATTTAGAAATAAAAACATAAAGGAAATACATGATAAGCCAGTGAAGGCAAAATGAAGTATTCAGTAAGTTACTATTTGCTCTAATTTCATCTCTGCTACTGTGGTAAACTACTTCGAAAAAAGCAATTTAGGAAGAAAGGGTTTATTTTAGCTCACAGTCCCAACCTGTTTACAGTCCATCACAGCAGGAAAGTCAAGGCAGCAGGTCACACCACATCCACAGTCAAGAACAGAGAGACATTAATACCTGTATGCTTGCTTGTTTGTGAGAGACTGTCTCGTTAGTTAATGCAGGAAGACCCTGCCCACTGTGTGCGGCACCATTCCCTAGGCAGGAGGTCCAGAACTGGTTAAGAGTAGAAAAATCAAATAGAGAACAATAAAGCAAACATGCATGCATTCATTTCTCTCTGCTCGTGACTATGGATGTCATGTGACTAGTCTGAAGCTCCTGCCACCAGAACTTACCTACCATGATGGACTATACTCTCAAATTGTGAACCAAAACAAGCCCATCTTCCCTTAAATTGCTCTTGTCAGGGTGTTTTATTACAACAACAGAAAAATAACCAAGGCTGAGGCTTATCCAGCCTGATGACCAGTTCCAGATATTTCACATTCTCAAGACCTTTTGTTTGAAACCCACTTGCAGGTGTCCATATCTAGTCCAGCAGTATTCTTCGGTTAGAAGTAATGGAAGTGACTAGTCTGGGTCAGTTTGCTTGTTTGAGATAGGACCTCACTCTGCAGCCCAGGCTGTCTTGGAACTGTGTTAGCTGACCTCAAGCCTGTGGGGATTCTCCTTCTTTAGCTTCTCCAGTGCAAGAACTATAGGCATCAGCTACATGTCTGGCTTCCTCTAGTTAATATAATTGAAAAAAAAATTTATTGGAAAGGAGCAATCTAGCTCACATACCTTGCCAAACAGAACATCTCAGTTAATTCATGGTCTAGAAAAATTGAATGAAATGCTATTTGAAAACATCAGCATCAGTAACTAAACCACCTTGTATTAAACAGAATGAAATGATAAAAAACATGAAGTGGCATAACTCAAAACAGACAACTACATATCTACAGTTTACATGCAACACAATAACCTCAAGACTCCTCATTCTTGCAAGTGGACACAAACTGTAGAATACCACTTCACCCCTGTCCATATCTGCTTCCTGTCTCAGCCTGCATCACAGGATCTTTTATCCACTAGATGACTCCACACTCCATTTCTGAGGGGTCTTACCTTTATAGGGTGGCTGCCATCTTCCCTTACATGACATTGTTAGATATGCCGTTCTTAGAGAATGCCCCAGAAGATCACCTGTGTTCCAGATACATTCCCTTTTAAACATTTTTTTCAGATTCATTTATTAATGTGTATGAATGTTTTATCTGCATTTATGTATGTGTACCATATGTGTGCCTGGTATCTGAGGAAGTCAAAGGAGGGTGTGGAATCCCTTAGAACTGGAGTTACAGTTGGTTGTCAGCCACCATCTGGGTCCCAGGACTACTGTAAAAGTACTCTTAACCTATAAGCCTGCTCTCTCCAGATCTGTTCTCTCCTCGCTCCATTCTGTGGCTCACTCTCTAGTTCCCTTTGATAATCAGAATCAATTACCCTTGCCAAATTGAAAGCCCCTTTCTGCCCTAGTAAGCCAGGTACATGAAAAATAAACCATCAAGTGACAGTTTCAACTTCCAGTCCAGTGGAGCCCTCTTGTCGTGTTCATGTTAGAAACTAATTCTTTCAAGCCAGAGACACGGAGACAAAAAATGTGGCAAAAATTCAAAGACAATGAAGCAAACAAATGTTTTGCATTGAAAATGAACAACTACCTTTATTAACTTGGTTTCCAGGACCATGAATTCTGACTGTGAAAGAAATTTCACTATTTCTGAAATGGTAGCATTTCAGAGGTAAGGTACCCACTCCCCTTCCCTAACTCCCTTGGTTATCTCAGGTCTGGCCCAGTGACAGCCTGAACAGCCCACTAAATGATGCTGTAAGCTCAAAGTGAGGACATTCATGAGAAGATCTGCAATTTCTGTGGTATTCTTCTTTCTTAGTGTATTAGGCAAAGTGAGAGTGGGTGTTATATAGAGATATAGATGTGAAGGAGGATAGGGACTCGTTATAAAAATTAGGTTATGTGGTTATGGAGGCTGAAAGGTCACACAACAGGTGGGAGACTCAGGGTTCTTGGTCCAAGGAACCTTATATATAACTTTCAATCTGAAGCATAAGGACTCAAGAATCTGATGCAATCCAAGGACTGGATTTCTGTGGTTCAAGAGCAAGGGCGTGAAGTATCTGGGCTCTACTAAAGACAGAGTTCTACCCAGGCTCCCAGATAACTGGATAATGCCAGCCTACACAAGAAAAGCTCTTCCTCACTCAGTCCACCAACCCAGGTACTACTCCCTAGAAAAGCTCAGGTGATACCTGACATTGACCTCTGGATACTTGTACCCACTTGTATACATGCCTTTAATTCCAGCACTTGGAAAGCAGAGATAGGCAGATCCCGAGTTCAAGGCCAGTCTGTTTTCTATATAGGAAGTTTAAAGCCAGTCTGGGCTACATAGTAAGACTCTGTCTCAAAAAACAAACAAACAAACAAACAGAACCTCCCTTTAGTTTATAATTTTAGTAGGAAAGGGGATTACTAAGTACTTCCACTAAGCCCTTTCTACCACAACTAACAAATTTAAGGTCAGGAAACAATGTGTATTTTTCTGTCAGTAGCTGGATATCTCTACTTCAACTGTAAAAGTCAAAAACTAGGGGAAAAAAAATCACAGGATGTATTTGAAGACCCACTGTGAAAAGATTGTCAAGGGTCTGGAGAAATGCCTCAATGGGAAAAGGGCTTGCTGCACAAATCCCAGGACTTGGGTTAGATTCCCCACCTCCATGTCAAGCAGGTCTGGCAGCGAAGACCTAGTCCTAGGGCTGGGGAAAGGAGACAGGAGCACCCCTGGGTCTCACTGGCCAGCCAGTCTAGCTGAGCTCCAAGTTCAGTGAGATACCGTCTCTCAAAAAAATAAGATGGAGAAGGTGGAGAGATGCTTCAGCGGTTGAGAGCACTTGCTGCTCTTGCAGAGGGTTTGGTTCCCAGCACTCACGTGATGGCTCACAACTGCCTGTAACTCTAATTCCAGGAGATCTGACTCCTTCTTCTGACCTCCCCAGGCACCAGGCATGTACATGATGCACATATGAACATGCTGGCAGAACACTCATAACCATAACAAAGAAATAGAAATAAAAGAGAAAAAATAAGACAGACAACAACTGAGGATGACACCTGACAACCTCTGGACACTTGCACCCACTTGTACACATACACACATTTACACACATACCATATCAACCCACGTGCAATCACCTAGCTCTCCGAAGTCCCACCCTAAATGATGTCCCACAATAGCCTCAAGCTCCGCAGGTAGATCAGCCTTGGGTTAGAGCCAGTTACAATTCCTGGGAGGTCTGCTTTTCTCTCTTTCCCCAGGTTCAGTTACCATGGTGAGTAGGTATGTGTCCCTTTGGGGAAGACAGTAAGAGTTGGTCTGTGTT